AATCGCCAAAAAAAGAGAAGGAGATCCTCAGGGCTTCAAGTTCTATCTTAGACAGCAAGTCATCGCCTCAAGGACCACTAGTTATGATAAATAAAATGTGATACACATTAGGATATGAAAAATTTTTGACGTGTTTTATTACAAATTATATCCATCATTAGTTGTTAATTTTCACGAAATTTCCAATAATTTAAGCTTAGTCCAAAACACTTGAGGATACGTATCTGTTTATGTATCATAATTAGTGATACGGGATTTTAATTTGTCTCTTTTTTTATTTTTATATTTATCCCTCTTTTTTTTAGTTTATTACTTAAGAAGTTAAATAAACAATTATAGAGTTTTTGAGTGAGAAAAAGTAAATTTTTAATAAATCTAAAAGAATAGTGGTTAGTTATTGAGGAGTTTAGAGGTAGTTATAAATCACACATGATAGAGTTTGATTGAAGGAACCTTCTGGTTTTAAATTAAAAAATTCTAAAATTTGATAAACTAAAAAGTAAGGAGGGAAGGTTTCTCGGGCACTCTCACCTCTAAATTGTTTGTTATAATACAGATGAGAGATAATGAATTATTGGGATAAATACAAAGGCGATAATCTATAATTTGCTCAAAGGAATGACTATGAATCATCTCCGTTCCTTAGTAATAAGGCAAGCATAAAGCCCATCCAGATTAATAAAAAACAAAGGAAAAGTTTGAGTGCAAATGAAAAACAAAAAAAAATTTAGTAAAGTGATTCTTCTGGCAACACATTATGTAATAAAGAATTGGAAACCATATACTTTGATGGCTGACCTCTGGTATTTATTTATGGTAAGTGCCAGGAACAAAAGAACAAAGCCGCTATCCATATTGCAAGAAAAGAATTTAGTGAATTATAAATAATAAAGTCCATCAAGAGTAATGAACAACAAAGGAAAAGTTTGAGTCCCAAATAAAAAACAAAAAAATTTAGTAAAGTGATTATTCTAGCGACACATTATGAAATAAAGAATTAGAAACCATATACTTTGATGGCCGACCTTTGGTATTTATTTATGGTAAGTGCCAGGAACAAAAGAACAAAGCCCCTACCTATATTGCAAGAAAAGAATTTAGTAAACTATAAATATCATATAGTGGTCCTGAATAAATAATTTATTTACGAGTTTTTGGCCGAAATAATAATATTACCAATCTAATAGTATTGCAGAAGACCGTTTCAAAAAAAAAAAACAAACAAACAGTATTGTAGAAATAAATCTCTCAATGATGCATTGTTTTCATGTTTACTGATGAGTTGGAAAGCACACCACACTTTGGCTTCGTGGTTTTGCATCTGTTTTCCCTCTCATCTGGCTTGCTAATCCATAGGTATGTAGCATCTAATGGTATCACCCAATAGGATTGAACTTAACAAGTCTTGCTCCCCCCGGGGGGATGTGCAAAGAAAAACACACAACATAGTTTCATTTGGGACCTTGGAGTGAGGTGCAAGCCAGAGGTCCAAATCCGATCTTTCAAAAAATAAAAAAAAGGGAAGAAAATTCAAATGATGATATTACATTCGTATTACCGTCTATTGTCCAATTTTTTTGAAATTATTGTAACATCCATTTCGATATATTTCCATCACAACTCACGGGTAGGATGACCATTTTGACACTATGCGTAGTAGGCTAGACAGAAATATGATATAGAATTATCCAATTAAGATTAATTAGTTATTGGCACAAACGCAAAAGTGACACTACTATTAACATGAATAATAATGGGGCCACGTAGAGACAAATACAAATAATATTATTTTGACACAAACTCGTTTATTTAGTATTGTATGAAGAAAACATAATTTTTTTTCCTTTGTTTCATTTCTTGAGCTGAAATGGTAGAAGATTTTTTTTTATCTGATTTTCCTAGTATATGAATTTTTTGTCTATGGAAGACCCATCAATAATTAGTTTTGTTGAGACACAAGAAGTTCAAGCTTTAATTTTTTGAAAAATTCTATGCTGAAAATATATTGTAGATAAGTACTATTAGTTGAAATGTATTATGTTTAGATATACAATAACAGTTTTTTTAATTTTCCTTTACTAAAATATCATTTTCTATAATTCATGAACTGTCTAATTTGACTGTTCCTCTTTCCATGGGATTTAGTTTTATTAAATCAACAGTTTCCTATTTTAAAAGACCTTTATTTTTTGAATTTTAAATGTATATCATCTTCTTCTACTTCAATGATTGGTGTTATACTTCAACGTATGGTGCTCGTCTTCTTCAACTTCTTCTTATACCTCAACTTTTCTACTTCAACATCTGATGCTCGTATTCTACTTCAATGTCTATAGATTTCACTCGCAAGTTGTGTACTTCTTCTTCTTCAATGTTTGTTGTTTCCACCCAGAGGTCGTGTTTTTCTTCTATTTCAACGACATGTTAATAGATTTATGATTGGTGTTTAATTTAATTTTGTTTTTTTTCTTGGAAGACACTAAATGGATATCACATTTGATTGTCAAACTTTTTATACCCAATTACAGTTATTGTATTGTATTGTATTGTTATATATATTTGTCGAACTGTAGATATCACATTGTGATACCACACTGTGTAAAGTATACCATTTAACTTGTGCATGAATCGAAAAATGAAATTGCAAATCTTTTGTCAGTTATTAAAGTATTAATGAAGTTGTTACGTTGTGAGATATTACTATTATGTAAAAACCCAATGATAAGAACCTTGGTTCCCAATAACAATGTGTTATAGTTCCACATGTTAATGGTTTAACTTAAATACTAAAATATAATTACAAATGAATCAATCCATAGTTAGTTCCGTAGACATTGTCAATGATTATGGATGAAAAAATCGACATTTGGACTTCAATGGTGTTCCAACGTATGTACAAAGATTTTTTTAGTTCTCACAATTTTTGATTGTTTGTATTTTTAATTTGGTTGAAATCTCTTGGATTTTACGGTATTTTTATTTGAATTTCAAACACCATGTTTTTTTTGAATTTCAAACAACCTATTTTACAGGATATCGTTTGTCGCCGATTTTCATAGATATGCTACTTAATTTTCGGTGGTTTTCAAACCCACTAGTTTGAGCCAGTTAGTTTCTATTGTGGGTATATTTGGTATTCACAAATAAAAAAAATCTCTACACAAATAATTTTACTCAAATGACTTTTACACAAATTAAGTCCTACAAAAATCTCTTAATTTTTTTAGTTCACAGGTTATGCAGATTAACTCAAACAAGACATAATAAATAGATCAGATTGGTATCTATACATCCAACACAATTAATCAAGTGAGTAAGGTGGTGTTTGATAAAACTGAAAGTTGAAATTTGAAAACTGAAAGTTAAAATCTGAAAACTAAAAACTGAATTTGTGGATTGTTTGGTATCCACTGAAAATTAAGTACTGAATTGAACCAAAGTATTTGATAACTATATAGAGCTGGCGTCTGAAAATAAATTATTTTTTTGTTTTATCCTTTCACTCTTTAATTTAAAAATATTTATAAAATATGCTTTTATTTAATACAAAACTACGATATACCAACAAATACATATAAAATAATTGAACAAATAAACTGTTAATCGATAACAAAGATGAATAGAATAATATCAAATTAAATAACACAATAAGTGAATAATAATATCTCATAAAAAAAATCTGAATAACGCAATAAATAAACAATAATATCTAATCAAAAAAATAGAACAAAAAAAGGCACGTGTGTTTGTGCAATGTGTGTGTGTGACTGTTAAATTGTGTGTGTGTGTAAATGTGTGCGCAGTGCACGTGTATGTGTGTTTATAACTATGTGTGTGTGTGTGTGTGTAAAACTGTGCATGTGTGTTATTATATATGTATATTTTTGTTGGACAAGACAAGGAAAGAAAAAAAGAAGAAGAAGAAGAAGAAGAAGAAAAGGATGAAGCTTACCAGTCACCCATTGAAGAAGATGATCGGTTGGGAGAATAGATAAATTAGGAGTTTTGGAGAAAAAATTAATTAGAGTTATAATAAGATTGTAAAATATTTTGAGGCATAATTATCATATTATAAATATTATTAAAGAGATTTTACTGAGTACTTTCAACTTTTAAAATTAAGTAAAAAATCTCCTTTATAATATTGTAGCCTATTTTTATGGAGTACTTAATATATCATGAGAGTTTAAATTTTGGTTATTGCTTCTCGTGATTACCTTTTTTGTGAATAAATAAATTTCTCTTTTGTTAAAAAAAAAAAGTTTAAATTTTGGTTATCAAACGAGCTTAATTAATAAATGTTGAATACATTCATTTTAAGTGTTGAATTTGATTTAACAAACACACCCTAAAATTAAGATTGATTATTACTCAACTCAAATACAAAATAACACAATCCAAAAAATCACAAAACTCGGTTGTGGCCCTAATCAAATGAAAATCATCTATTAATTCAAGTCAACTTTCCAAACATATTACTTTCCAGAACTTTCCAAACATATTTGCCCACATGACATCTAACATGTAGCATCTAAAATAACACAATGGGAATGAATTATTTTTCACAACAACATTAAGTTCGGAATTGAATTAAAAACTAACGTTAATTCGACAAAGGCACTCTTTCTCATGTAAATTGTTTTGTAATATATATTTTAACAAAACTCTTAATTCATTTGTTGTAATTCTCTTGAATACAAAGATTATATTATACAATACAAATCTCAATAATCAAATTCTATATGCCCCAACTTTTATAAGCAATCAAATGGAGAAGTGCATAGTACATGTAATCGAATGTTGAGAACGTGGTGTCTACCATTATGAGGGCTAACACAAACCAAACAAGGAACATGTAAAAGATCATAAAGATGGCTATGAAGGTCCCCGGGTGGCTCTCAAGTATATAGCCTTGCAAATAAGCGGTGGCGGACAAGCAGGTGGAGTACATAATTATGAGGGAGGCTACTATGGTTTTTACTGGAACGGCAATGTGAAAATCATTGGTGTCGATACGCGATACTTGGATTAGAATGAGGTTTGTCAAGGAAAGAAAGGCGAAGAACAGAGCTAACCCTATGTAAGCCATGAAGAACTGCATTTCCTGCCAATGATCGGAGAGGAGCATGGGGTCCCCCGGTATTCTGATTGAAGCCACCAGGGACAGTGAAAAGTGCTGCGAAATGAATTGTGCAGATGAGGGTGGCGGCGATAATTAAGTTAGCACTCACGTGTTTTGCTGCTTTCTCTGCTTCTTCTCGAAGGGATGAGTGATTTTTTTCAAATAGTTCCTCTGCTGTCTTTCCATCCACGTTTCGAAGGTGATATAAGTGTGGATAAAAGTCGTGCTTTACGTGCTGTGGAAAAAATGAAAAAGGATTAGGGAGGCATCAAATTAGTTATTAATGCAAAATGCTATTTGTACTTACTTTGGGGTTCTAATTTGTTATAGTTGTTAGATGAAAAATCCATCTCGACAAATATTGGGCTTCAAAAACTGATATAACACAAACACACAAGATATTTTCAAAATTGCTTCAGTACCTTGAACCAAAGCACATCCCAACTCATCTAGTTTGCCATTTCAACACTTCCTTGCTTTGTTAAGACATGATTTTTGGCAAATGATGCGAGGTGCAATATGGTGTTCCCTCGGTTATCAATTAAGTAGATCATTCTATAAATGTTTTATAACAAGTAAGTTTTTCTACCAAATCAAAAAGTTAAGCAAAGAATTGGCACTATATTTCAACAAACTCAGAGAAGTAGAATTGATTCCATAATTGTTTTGAGTGTTTTTGCTTAAAAATAAATAATTTCATCAAGCAAACAAAAACAAGTTCGCCTAGTATTTTGTAAAAGTGATATGAATCATAGTAAGATAAAAAAAAAACAATTTACTCAAAAAAATCTTTAAAAAGCAAAAAAAATATAATAATAATATTTAAGAGAAATTTTATCAAACATTACCATAATTTTTGTTTTGTTTGACAAAAATTAAAGACCAAAATCAGAATTCTATTGTGAAAAACAAAATAAATAAGACTCCGTTTAGTTCCCACTAATGGGCTCATGGAGGGATCAATTGGGTACATACCTGATTTTTTGCATAGGATGACTGCCTCAAAATCATTTAGCATAATGACTATTTATGTAAACTAATATGCCATATTGAAGAAAAAACAACTAATATTTTGTAACAATATGTCTAACCGTATATTTTTCTCAAGTTTAGAGCATTGTAGATGATATAATTTATGTTTGCAACGTTCATGTAACAATTTCATTTTTTTGTTCCTTTTGATAATCAATCATGTTTTTTCATCTATAAGAGCAATGCTCATCTTTAAGACCGAGTCTATCTAACAAAAAGTACATGTGTGAAAAGCTTCAAAGGGGTATAGGATTTTTCAAGGGGAGGCATAAGATTTTTTAAAACATTAGAGGGGGTTATATGATAATTTTGAAAAATTGAGGAGAGTATGTGGGTGTCCATGGGCCGGGTTACCCATGAGTCATGTTACCCGACCCGAAAATATAAGCCCGAAATTTGATAGGCCCGATAATTGGCCTGTTCGAGTCTGAGCTCAATATCCTTAAAAAGAGGACTTGAATTTTTTCCCAAACCCATTATCCGGCCTAAAACCTAACCCAATAGCTCACCTTCCAAGCTCATCCCGCCCACCATTCCTTTGAAAAAAAAGTTATATTTTTAGACCATTAAATTTGAAACTTTGTAATAAGTCTCTCAATGTCAAAATTTAAAGTTTTAAAAGTTTAGATATTATAAATAATGTATTATTTTCTTTTCTATGTATTAAGCATACAAGTTTTAAAGAGTAGAGTAATACAAATGATAAATAATTAAGTATGTGTCAACCTAATTAAGATGTATTCATTCTATAGGATGTAGTTCATCCCCTAATCAAAAATAAAATTATTCATTATTTTATTTTTATCTATTTTGACTCTACATTTTATTCAAAAATATAATTTACACAATTATTAAGTCACAAAAATATTCATTATTTTTAAATGAAATTGTATATAAAAAAGTCCGTGAACAGACCCGCCTAATAGGCTAGCGGTTTGGGCTGTGGGTATCCTATCCCTACTTGAAGCTCGGTCCGGCCCGCCTGATAACTCACTTGAATAAGAGCTTGAGTTTACATTACCCAGGGCCAACCCGAAAAAAATTTTGTGGGCCTAGCCCGATCCAACCCATGGACACCCCTAGGTATGACCACCCTTGGTCCCCCCCCCCCCCCCCCCCCCCCCCCCCCCCCCCCCCCCCCCCCCCCCCCACACCCCCCCCCCCCCCCCCCCCCCCCCCCCCCCCCCCCCCCCCCCCCCCCCNCCCCCCCCCCCTCTCTCCAAACAACCCAAGCTTAAGCTTATAGAATGGTCTGGTATTTGATATTTTTCTTTTAATTTTGATGATACCAAAAATTATAACTCTGATCAGACCCATAGCAGCTCATAATGGTCTTTCCCAAAGACCGACATAATTGAATCCATCCAGACAGCAAGTCATCGCCTCAAGGACCACTAGTTATGTAAATAAAATGTGATACACATTAGGATATAAAAATTATTTTGACATGTTTTGTTACAAATTATATCAATCATTAGTGATTAATTTTCATGATTAGTGGTACGTCATGTGCAATGCATGGGATTTTAATTTGTCTCTTTTTTTATTTTTATATTGATACCCCTTTTTTTTTAGTTTATTACTTAAGAAGTTAAATAAACAATTATAGAAAGTTTTTTGTGTGAGATAAAGTAAATTTTTAGTAATTTAAAAGAATAGTGGTTAGTTATTGAGGAGTTGAGACGTAGTTATAAATCACACGGTAGAGTTTGATTGGAAGAACCTTCAGGTTTTGAATTAAAAATATCTAAATTTTAAAAAACTAAAAAGTGAGGAGGGAAGGCTGCTTGAGCATTCTCACATCTAAATTGTTTGTTATATACAAATGAGAAATAATGAATTATTAAGACAAAAACAAAGGTGATAATCCATAATTTGCTCAAAAGAAAGAGGTGAAAGGAATGACTATGAATCATCTCCTTTCCTAATGCTGTGTTTGGTACGGTGGAAAAATAGAAGGAAGAAAAATTTAAAGGACAAATAAAATATTATGTTTGGTAAAAAAAAAATAGGATGGATGGAAAAGTGGATGAATTAGTTTTTATTCCAACTCATCAAAATCAATCCCTCCAAAATTGGAAGGAAAGTAGATGAAAAATTAATTAATTAATTATATATATATATACACACACACATCAATTTCATATATAAATATAATGATACAATATGTATTTATACTTTTTTTAAAAAAAATTAAAAAAATATTTTTCCATCTTATCAAGCACAAAATAAAAAAAAAAAATTATTTTCATCCATCCAACCAAACACAAAGAAAGAAAATTGTATCATTTTTACTTTCCTTCCTTGAATGATAAAAAATGTATCCCTTTTAATTTTTATCCCTCCTACTTTCCATCCTTCCTACCAAACTAAACATTAGTAAGAAGACAAGAATAAAGTCCATCAAGATTAATGAACAACAAAGGAAAAGTTTGAGTGCCATATAAAAAGCAAAAAGAGTAATATTAGATAGACTTAAAAACTATACTTAAAAATTAGACTTGATAATCTCAACCATTGAATAGGTAATAGGTCCCAATAAATGTTGGGACATGCAGTAAAATCAATGGTTAAGATTATCAAATCTAATTTTTAAGTCTACTTTCTAAGTTTATGTAGCATTGTCCAAAGCAAAAAAAATTTAGTAAAGTGATTCTTCTTGCGACACATTATGTAATAAAGAATTGGAAACCATATACTTTGATGGCCGACCTTTGATATTTATTTATGGTTAGTGCCAAGAACAAAAGTACAAAACCCCTATCTATTTTGCAAGAAATCAATTTGACGAGCCTAGATCCAGACCTAGCTTGGGCCAGTCATAGATTAAACTCAAATCATCAAAAGATAGGTCAGGCTTAGCCCATTCAATTCAATCCAAAGCTCTAGAGTCCGGTGAAAGTTAACGCACGTGGGAGCGCAATCATCGGGATAGTCATTACTTCAAAATAGTGCTTATCCCCAATAGTAGTTGTCCTCCCCGATAAACTAATAACTTGATCTTCACGTCACCCACCACAGCTAACCCTTTATACCTATAAATTATAAACTTTCCTACAAATTGGGACAGAATACACACTCCTTACCTTGAGCATACTCTTGCCATCTCTCTCCTATTACCTTGTATTTTCCCATTAATCGAGTTTTTCGATTATCGTTGCCGCCTTCAGTGGTTAGGTCATCCAAACTCAACTACTTAATCTTTGTCTCTTGTTATTAATTGTTTTATACCACACACTTGATTGATTTGATCTTGCATAAATTCATTTTTGTGCATCATCAGTTTGACGCTGTCTGTGAAAATCGATTCGTCCAATTAACATTCAATTCATCAAATTAATAATATCCAAAATTATCCAATAAAAATTTAAATAATCCAATCAACACCAAATTAATATATAATTTTATTCAATTAATATTCAATTCATCAAATTTATACCAAATGAACATTCAATTTCATTTAATAAACATTCAATTCATCATATTAAAACCAAATTAAAATTCAATTCATCAAATTAATATTTAATTTATTAAATTAACATCAAATAAACATTCAATTCATCAAATTAAAATAAAAAATCATCCAATAAAGATTTAATTTATCAAATCAACACCAAAATAACATGCATTTTTATCCAATAAACATTTAATTCATCAAATCAACACCAAATTTATATTCATTTCAACAAATTAACATTCAATTTGAACCAACAAAAATTCCATTTATCAAATAAACACCAAAATAATATGAAAATTCATTGAATAAGCTTTTAATTCATCAAAATCAATACCAAATTAATGTTCAATTCAACAAATTAACATTTCATTTCATCTAATAAAAATTCAATTCATTAAATTAATACTTAAATTCAACCACTTAATATTAAATTCATCAAATTAAGATTCAATTTCATCCAATTAATATTCAATTCATCAATTTAACACCAAATTAACATTTTAGTCATCAAATCAACACCAAATTACCATTTAATTCATCAAATTAACAAAAAAATTAATATTCAATTCATAAAATTTACATTTATATCCATCTAATAAACCTTTAATTCATCAAATTAAACTAACAATTAATTCCATTCAATAAATATTCAATTCATCAAATCACATTAGTCACTCCCTTAGAGGTATTTCTTTGCTGGTTTACTGGCAACTATGGAAGGAAAGATGCAGAAGAATGTTTGAGGGCCAGCACATGCATTACTTTTCTTTGTTCGTGGTGATTAAATAATTATGGAGATTACACGTACATCTCATTAAGCCTAAGGCGATGGATTCACCTCTGGGTCTGTCTTTTCTACAGTCACTTAATGTGTCTTCAAATAGTTCAGTTAATTAAAGTGCAGATTAAATGGATTAATTGGAAGCTTCCACCTGAAGGTTTTCTTAAACTTAATATTGATGGAGCATCTAAGGGCAATCCTGGTCCTTCTGGTGGAGGAGTGGCACTTCGAAATCAGAGTGGACAATTTGTTCTTGCTGGTTCCTTCTTTTTATGGGATTTGCACTAATATGGAAGCCGACATGAGGGCTCTGATGGATGGCCTGCGATTACTCAGGGATTTTGGTTTGGAAGATTATGCTTTTCACATTGAAACAGATTCTCATGTCCTTGTGGATATCATTAAAAAGAGATCTAAGCCATCTTGGAAACTCTGGTCTTTGTCTACTCAAATCTTTTCCATCATTAGCAGGTTTGATTTTCAAATTCACCGTACTTATCGCGAGTGGAATGCGGTTGCAGATTCTTTGGCAAATAAGGGGGTTTCTGATAGAGACTCCTTCACTTATTCTTCTCCGGATAATCTGCCTACAACTACTAAACTTATTGCTGCAGGATCTTCGGCAAATCAAAGTTTTAAGAAAGTCTTCGCAGAGTAGACTCCTTAATTGGGTCTTTCAGCTAGACTCCTATTATTTTGTTATAGCAGGAATGGTCACTGTTCACGTCACTGCAGCTGTTCTTTAAGCTGCAGTCAATTGCCCAGCTGCTCTCATTTTCAGCGACCATGGACGGCTGCTGGACAGATCAGTTCATGCCACTGTTTTCACGCAAATAACGGGGTTTTAGCAGTTGGCTTCAGCTGGAATTCTTTGTCAGCTGG